ACACACACACACACACACACACACACACACACACACACAATATCAACAGGATTGTGCAAAAACAAAAAAATTCTGTTGGAGTTTCGACGAGGTTGGGAAGTGGGGGCCATTCACGCCGGTTTACGGCAAAAATGTCTTCACATTCGGCCCCTACCTCCCAACCTCGACGTCATAGGTGTAAGTAATGTGCTACGGGAAAACCAGAGGGAGAGAGAGAGAGAGAGAGAGAGAGAGAGAGAGAGAGAGAGAGAGAGAGAGAGAGAGAGAGAGAGAGCAACCCATTTCCACATATACACACACACACACACACACACACACACACACACACGCACGCACACTATCTGAACACGGTTGGGAACTGGGTGTCTCTTACGGCGGAAAACGARAACAACGTKTTAATACATACCCGCCGCATCAGAATTGACCCATCACGATTGTATGTGGAACGCATGGTGCAAAATGCAATGCAATATGGAGAACACAGAAACAAGGAACCCCGCTTTTGCACACGTTTGGGAATTGCGTGGCACTTACAGGGGAATAGGCCAGCAACACTCACGCTTTCGCCGCAACACTGCAACAATGTTTCCAGAGACAGACTGCATGACATGTGTGTGTGTGTGTRAGAGAGAGAGAGAGACAGAGGGAGAGAGGGAGATAGAGAGAGAGAAAGAAGGAGGTGGACATCACATTTCTCTCCCGCCCTTCAGAACACGCACTGCTACAATCTCGCACCTCTTGATCAAAGTTCGCAAACAGTCGTCGACTCGAAACGCATGTTTGCATCGCCCACAATCGTTGCTCGCACACCCCGCCCCTGCGTTGGTGACGACATGCGACATGACCTCCGTCATTATTGAGACGAGGTGACATATACAATCCGTTGCAAGCCGTGCCATCTGTCGCTTGTTCGCTGATTTCACAAAAGCCCGAAAGTTGTCACTCGTCATCGGACTAAAGACGCCAGAGGACCCTACGTGTTCGTGCGGCACGCTGCTGGCGAACACACATGGGAAATTGTGTCGGGTTTTGTATTGTTTAAAACTTTGGAGATCGTGGCACGAAAGCAGCATGTGACTTGCTACGCATTGCGATCGTGCTGCATCGCAGCCGTCGGCACGGTCCGTTGTGTCGTCCTCCTTCACAAATCGCGTCTCTCTGCCGGTGTCATTGTTTTCCTTGCCACATCCCTCCCCTTCCAGCCACATTCGGTGTCCGCACGAGAACGACGCACGTGTGTGCTTTAGACTGTCCATGACATCTGTGCAACTGCTCAACAGAGCCCATATATTGGGGGGAGTCAAAGCGCTCTGCCATTCAAGGTCAATGTCGGCCCGATATTTCAGACAAGTGTAGTAGTTGATAGTTTCTACACAATGTTTGATGCAGTCCTCTGAGAAGGACAGAAGGTCAACGTGTGCATTCCACGGAGCAGACTCGTCGCCGCACCCATCTTCCTGGCTATCGTAGCACGCTCATCCTTGTCTCAACACACATTGTTCTCCTGTTGGACAACACTTCACATCCCACTGATGAGGGACATGTTGGGGGATTTCCCGCGGCAGACGTCTCCGTCTATTTATGCGAATATCAACAGGCGTGAACGCAATTTCTGCCTCTTTCAAGATCGATTCTAGGTCTTCAACCCTGTGCCTCAGACTATTTCTCTCTTTGTGATATCGATCCAAACCGTCAAACAACCACAACACGCTGCACCAGCCGTGATCCAAGTTTTCCTTCAACAACGAAACCTCCTTCGCATAACGGTCAATCAACGCTGTCATCTGTCTACCCAACTCTCTCTCCTCACGCAGTTCGGCCGTCAGTTTATCTATGTGTTCCTGCCCAACACCCATCTATCATGGCTCTTGCTCTATCCTGGGCCCTGACCACATCGCACGGGGTCACAGTCATTCTGCCCGCGTTTGCACTACTC